ATTTATGTATTTGTGATTAAAAATACACAATTTTAATTTGTAACATTAAAGGGATCATACTGTCTTATATTTTCTATTATGTCTTGGAAATCTTTTCATGTCAGTACATATAGAACTACAAAGTTATTTTCCCATACTATGGCTATACTGTAACTTATTTAACTTTCTTCCTATTGATGGACATTGAGGTTATTTCCAGTTTTTTCCAAGCTGTTTTGTGAAGTCTGTATTTAATTGTCTTAGTTCAGGCTGCTATAATAAAGTTCCATTTTGGCTGGGTGGCTTATAAACCACAAAAACTTATTTCTCATAGCTCTAGAGGCTGGAAGTCCAAGATCAGGGTGCCAACCAACGTGGTTGGGCTCTAGTGAGGGCCTTGTTCTGGGTCGTGGACTTTTGTCTTCTCCCTGTATCCTCACATGGTAGAGAGCAGAAGAGAGCACTCTCTGGAATTCCTTGTGTAAGGGCACTAATCCTATTCATGAGAGTTCCACCTTAATTACATCCCAAAGGCCCCACCTCCTAATACCATCACACTGGGGGTTAGGATTCCAACATGTGAACTTTGGGGGGACATATGGGTTAACACATTGCATTAACCCACATATCCTTTGAGGTACATTTTTAAGTTTCCATATGTATTTCTGGAAATGAGAGAAAAAATAGATTTCAAAAAGTACACATCCATGTTGACTTCAGATAATGAGAAAGAATGCCATAAACACATGTAAATATCAACATGGATGAGTCTAAAGATATTAATGGGCAAAAGCAAGTTGCAGAATGATATACATAATCTAATACCATTTGTATACAACTTTTCAATGTGTAAAATCATACCATACTCTTTATATTTGGAAATAATTTCAATACTATATATTCAAGGGCACTTGTACATACACACACACACAGTAAAATATAAAAAGCTTGCATGGGAATCAAAGGCCTCAAATGCAAGATAGTGTTTACCTCTAAGGTGGAGAGGGTTGAAGGAAATGGGGAAGAGGTTCACAAGGGGTTTCAACTGTTATCTGTAATATTTTTTTAATTGAAAAAAGAAAAAACACAAAATGGAATAATTCTAATTGGTTATTGCTGGTGCTGAAGAAAGCAGTAGCTTTATATATGATGTTATTTTACCTGATCACGTATTAAACTATCTTCTTGGTTTTAAGTTTGTTGGTTGAATCTTTTAGGTTTTCTAGGTAGACTGTCATGTCATCTGGAAATACTAACAGTTTTATTTCCATTCATTCCTATTCTTGTATCTTTTACTTCTTTTTTCAGTAGCAAGGATATGCAGCCATCTTGTCTTGTTCTTGAGTCCTTTTCTCATATTTTTAATGAGAATGGTGTTAATATTATTATATCTTTTAATTTCTGGGACACACCCTTCATAAAGATATAATGCTGCTCCATCTTTTACAGCAGCCATCTTATGCATGTTCCTCATCCAATCTGGTCATGTCTGCCTTTGGATTTTTAGGAACTATTAATTTCTGATCCACCAAGACCATTCCTTTTTGTTTTCCAAGGATATTATAGATTAAAAATCATTTATTTCTTGTAATTTGGGTAGGAGAGGAAAACTGAAACGTGCTTAGTCTGCCATCTTAAACCAATTTGTTATTTTTTTCTTCTTTTGATCTCTCTCCTTGTGATTTGGTGACTATCTTTAGTGTTTTGTTTGGATTTTTTTTCTCTTTTTGTGTGTGTGTATCTATTATAAATTTTTGGTTTGTGCTTACCATTAGGTGTATATACAGCAATCTTTATACATATTTGATTATTTTAAGTTCCTAATCTCTTAAGTTTGAATGCATTTTAACAACCCTGCATTTTTACTCCCTCCAAGTTTGTTTTTGACATCATAGTTTACATCTTTCGTTTCGTGCATCTCTTAACTACTTATTGTTGATATAGATGATTTTACTACTTTTGTCTTTTAAACTTCCTACTAGCTTTATAAGTGGTTGATGTGCTATCCTTACTGTATATTTGCCTTTACCGATGAGATTTTCTTCCTTTTGTAATTTTCATATTTCTAGTTGTGGCCTTTTCTTTTCCACTTAGTGAAGTCCCTTTAACATTTCTTGTAAACCCAGTTTCTTTCAGCTTTTGCTTGTCTATAAAACTCTTGATCTTCTCTTTGAATCTGAATGATAGCCTTGAGTAGATTATTCTTTTTCCTTTTATCATTTTAAAAATATCACGCCACTCCCTTCTGGTGTGCAGAGTTTCTGCTGAAAAGGCAGCTGATGGTCTTATAGGAGTTCCCTTGTTACACTGTTGACTGATACATATTACATCTCCCCATCATTCACCAACACTCCACCTGCTGCAGAAAGAAGCCCCAACATCTCACAGAATTTAGACAAGTAGATTCTCATTACTGAATTGCTTCTATTTGCTAGAGCAGGAGACTTGTTCAGATTTCTCAGAAACAGACGTTAATTGATCCAGGGCGTAAACTCCAGAGGAGGGGATGGTTAGTAAATGAATTATCTGAACTGTTTAATGTTAAATATCTTTCCCAAATAATCAAAAATTAGGTCAGAGTTGACTCAGGCTTAGGACTCAGGAGAACTCAGCTTGTAGTAAATCTTATTTACTTCAGAAAAATCAAAGAATCTTAGAACTAGTTGAAAAAAAAAAACACTTGGGTATTTGGATAAAAACTCAAGTGATATTTAAACATATATGTTCAAATATGTAGATCTCAGGATTGTATTATTTTTGACTACCATAAAATATACTTTTAAAAAAACTCTTGAATTTCATCACCTACTGAACAGAAGGAAGTTGCAAAGGCAAGTTATTAATCAATCAAGTATGAAGTTGGCAGAAAGGGTGGATATATGTATATGTATAACTGATTCACTTTGCTGTACAGCAGAAACTAACATAACATTATAAATCAACTATATTCCAATAAAAATTAATTAAAAAAAGAAATTAGCAGAAGAGGAGGTATCTAATTATTAATTCCATCACTGATCAACTATGCTTCCCTGAAAAAATATAAACTCAGATACAAAAAAAGAGCAAATTTTAAGCTTTTAAAAATGTATTTAAATTTTGGCCCTGGGAGATATTAGCAATTCTAAATGACTTACTTTTGGATGGTCTGGATCAATTTCTATCATGATGTGTTCCAGAGCTTTATTTTCAAATAGATCCCTGGGAATGATCCTGAATATAAAAATAAACCAATAAAATTCCCAGCTAGCCTCCAAAGATTAAACCAGAGAGTAATTTGGGCCCTTTCTCTGAATCAGATTTAATGCCCTTATTTCTTTCCAGAACCCTCACATTCCCACTGTGTGCCTCTGTCTTCCACTGAGGTCCCACCTGGCATTCTCCACCATCAAATCTTGGATGTTTTATTTAATATTCCACTCTGAGTGCTCATCAACAATAAGTGAATTTATTACATCTCTCTGGTAACACTTCAAACTTAACTGCTACCTTCAATACCTCATGTTGAACAATGTGAGAATTTGCATTGAGAACCAGTATTTCTAAGTCTCCACCCTGACCCAAACCATTGATAAAATGCGCATATTGGTTAGAACCTTACAATCCAGTGGCATTTCCTGAACCACCAGCTCCAGCAATTGTTCCAGCTTCCCACTCTCTTGGTTTCCTATACATATTAATAGAATTAACTGACATGACCCAAAGATTATCACCTGCCCTCATAAGTGTTTCAGGAGAAAAAGCACATACTATTCTTTTAGTGTCTGTTTCTGGAAGTTCTGATGTGAGGCAGCCATGACTAAAGGTAACATTTAGAGTGCTCTGTATCCTTGCACAGTAGAAAGGACTTAGGCGGACCTGAATCCAGGCTCTGCCACCTGCCAGCTTTGTGGCTCTATCCAAGTTACCTACATACTAAGCCTTGGTTTCCTCATCTAGAAAAGGCAGATAATATTATGTACCTCAGAGGGATCTTGTGAGAATTAGAAATAGAATACGTGAAGCTCTTAGCACAGTGTCTGGCCTCTAATAGGTGTTTAAGAAATGTTCAAGGGAATTCCCTGGAGGACCAGTGGTTAGGACTTGGTGCTTTCACTGCTGTGGCCTGGGTTCAATCCCTGGTTGGGGAACTAAGATCCTGCAAGCCACGTGGTGCAGCCAAAAAAAAAAAAAAAGAAATGCTTAATACTATTTGTTATTTACCACGTTCTATACTTTGGAAATTTGTACAAGTATCAGATAAGACCAGTTGTTAAACTTTGTATGAATACCTTGATATAAGAAATGGAAATATATTCAACTCAATGAAAAGAAAATCTGCATAAAAAGGAAAAAGTGGTATTTCTAATGATATGTATTATGGTATTTCTAATGTATGTATTATAATGATATGTATTTCTTTGCATTTTATTTTTCTAATAGTACAGTACTATCAAAATACAAACTGATGGGTCAGTCTCCATACACTTCCTCTCTTTCTGGTTATTGTTTCTCCAGGTGAGCTAATTTTTAACCTGCAACGCAAATCATGGGGCTTCTCTTGGGTACCACCTCTGTCCTCAGTTGCTTCTGATATCACTTCCCTTTTTGTTTGCTTCTTTTTCATCCCAAATCCTGACCCTGAATCCTAATTTCATCCTGTTTTATGTTCCTTCACATATTAGCTTAGCAGGAAGGGCTCTCAGATTCTTCCCACTGACAGGTGGCTTCCTAGTCTGAACTCTGTTAAAAAACCAGTGCTGTTTCCACATTTACTAGTGTTTATACCTGTTCAGAGCTCATGTTCACATCATCTACAACTGCTTCTGAGAGTCCCATCTTCTGAGCCGTCTCTAATATAATTCTCAGATTCTTGCCTTATTGCCTGTGGCAATTCTCCTTCAGGTCTAGCTTGACAGTTTTTTGCAAGGATCAGTGAAAAGTAGTTGAGAATTTGGGTTTACCAGGACCTCATTTTGGAGTGCACAGGAATCAGAAATGGAAATTTATTCAATGCACAAGCTGACTTACTGAAAAAAAAAAAAAGTTGGGGGGCAGAGGGGAGAGAATTACATTTTATTATTACTAAGCATTTGTATCTCTTCATTTTGATCATCTTTAGGTATGTGCAAGCAGCTCTTGAAAAGCATATAAAAATGAACCAGGTTTTTTTAATTTTCAAAAAGCAGTAAAAACATTTATACAGAACATTATGACCTCCTAATGCCATCATTAGGACCCAACTCCTGCAGGTTACCAGTGTGGAGTCACTATCAAAAGCTGTTCTGCAAACAGGCAGGCAAGCAGCAGGAGAGTATTCCCTCGATTACTATACTGTGACAACAATAATAATAATTAAGGGAACCTTCCTTTAGCTGGATAACCTCGCCTAAACAGGTAAAACAGTTAATCAAAATCTAAACATGTGGTTTTCCAACACCAGTTTAGCAAATACAAAATTAGCTGCAACCAGAACAATTTCTAAGTTATCCCACAATAGTGATTCTTACACTTTGTTTCTTTGCTGTGTGATCCTTATGTATTTTTTCCCATTCGTCATCTTCTGTATCCTGGTCAAATGTTTCAGGGTATGCTGGTAATTTGTCTTTGGGGCATTCTTCATAGTAACTCCGAACATATTTTCCCACAAACCACCCTTTGTATTCTTCGGGCATTTTGCACTCCAGGCCATTATAGTGCACGTTGTAGTGATGCATTAACCAGTAGTAGAGGTAGTGGATGTTGTAGTCACATCTCCAAGGGTTATCTCTGAGCCACAAGAGTTTCAAAAAATACAAGTCTTCTAATACTCCATAGTCAAAGTTTTGCAGACTGTTGTTTGATAAATCTAACTCTTCTAAATGTGTGAGTCCTAAAAAAGCAGCTAGAAACAGAAAATATTTATTAAACCAGTTGGGTAATTGGGTTAAGTGCACTGTATATTATAAGGACAAATTTAAATTAAAAATAAGAGAGTTAATTCTCTCTATTGAAAATAAAGGAAAAGATTTCCCTCCCCGCCTTTTTCTCAGCGCTCTTACTTTAGAAAACTTGCACGTACTTTCTCTTCTCTTTGAAATGTGTTTATATCCTTTAGAAGACTAAAGAGGCCTTTTTCAGCTTTATGAGGATCATCCTTCTTAAGAACCTGGGAGCCATCTCTTTGAAATGGAAACATCAAGGCAGAGAACACCTGTCTCCCAGTTTCTGTGGGGGGGGTAGGAGCCTTCTTCCAAGTCACAAAATTACCTCTTGTCATAAAGATAGAAGTTTGTTTTCCTCTTGATAAAGCCAATTAGCTAACACAGATGCCAACTCACTTGCGAGTAAGGTTAGAATGAACAATGTTTGACAAACGGTGCTGTCAAGTCTTCTTACTTAAGAACTAGCTATTATTTATCCTGAAAACACATATGTATTAGGTTGTATCGGCTTGGCTATACAAAGGGTGAGATTTCTTTCTGTCTCTGCAATCTCTTAGCAGATTGCCTGTGATGTACATCACATTCTGGTTTAATGCTTATTCAATAATAAAAGAATCTTCTTTCTCTTTACCATTGTGGAGAGGATTTCTGTGTTGGGTGAAGACTTCGGTTTTAATTAAATTTCCCTAACAGTATATGTGTCTAAATGCAAAATTCTGAAATATGTTTTTACTCAGACAAAGCTTTCCCCTTGATTAAATTGACTAGAATACAATATTTTATTTGAAAAATCAGTTTTAAGTTAGCTTTGTAAAAATGTACTTTGTGCTCATGTGCATTTTTTAATACTCACTGGAAAGTTGCCACAAAAAAGGCATGAATTAGGAAAATATCTCAAATGTAAGACATAAGTGCATAAAAAATGAGAAACGTGTTTGGGGGTGATTTGACAGCTCTCTGGGATATAACTCTGAAAATGCCTAGAAAATAGCCGTTTCCCAGTTTCCTTCCCAGGGGGAAGGAATTATATTCTTGTATTGTCCAAAACCAAAAAAATTTTTATCAACATTTTTAAGACATCTGGTTGTATTTTGGCAAGCTATGGTAGCTATCAGCTTTGAATCCATATGTATTTAATTCTGCTGGAGGGTGGATAATTAAAACAAATAGCAAACACAAAACACAAAATAATACAACAGAAAGCTTTTTTTTCCCCTCTGAGAGTAAAGAAATCTAAACCTAAATTATCCCTACTTCAGTTGATGTAAACTGACCAGCTACTCTAGAATTTACAGGTCAATGCTGATTTCAAATATTTTGTTTCTGTTTCAAACATTTTCTCATTGCTCTTTTAAAATACTCTCCTCAGAGCATACAGTGCCCTTATTTTGAATTTGAAAAATATGCTCTCAAACTAATACCATTAACTATTTTCATATCATTTGTTCTCAGACAAAACCCTTAATTCCCCCTAAAAGAAGTCTATTTTGATGCAAAGCAATGACTTGGGTCATTGGGAGAGGGGAGCAGGTGGCTGGGGAGGAGCAAAAGGTCAGCCCTTGCAATGATAGTTCTGAAGACACTGCATTTTAAAAAATTTGCAAACATTTTGTGAGTTAATGATCTCACAATTTTCTTTTTCTTTCTTTCTTTTTTTTTTTTAGCGGGACGCGGGCCTCTCACTGTTGTGGCCTCTCCCGTTGCGGGGCACAGGCTCCGGACGCGCAGGCTCAGCGGCCACGGCTCACGGGCCCAGCTGCTCCGCGGCATGTGGGATCTTCCAGGACCAGTGCACGAACCCGTGTCCCCTGCATTGGCAGGCGGACTCTCAAACACTGCGTTACCAGGGAAGACCTCTTTTCTTTTTTTTAAAAAAAAAAAATTTATTTATTTTTGCCTCCGTTGGGTCTTTGTTGCTGCATGCGGGCGAGCTGGGGACGGGGGGTGAGGGGGGGGGGGGGGGGGGGATTAGACACTTGCTCAGGGACCCGAGACAGGCATGCTTGTCTTGCAGTTCTTTGGTTCTCATTCAGCAAAAGAGGATCTCCACCTCCAGATTCTTCACCCTGTGGCCTGGCTTTGTGGAGACCGGCTACCAGTGACTGACCTGCACACTAATACAATGATCGCTTCGTTTGGGAGAAGAGTATCTCTATAGTATTCTTATTCAATGTAAAATGAAAATTGCTTTTGATCTCAAAATTTGAAGATACTCCCAAGTTTACACTATCTGTACAGGCTAAGGTATGAGTGTAGCATATTGCTGTTCCTTTCAAAGTTTTTTAAAATTATGATTTCTTAATATTTACAAATGTTATTAATACTAAAATATGCCTTGGTAGCTCTAGAATATTCATTTTCAGTTTTTACTTCTACAATTTTAAAATCCTAATGTTCTGTTAATGGTATTAAATTACCTTTAAGAAAACAAGAAACAATTGTACTCAAAATGTTTATGACATTAACATTGCACTATTAATAGTAGTAATACACATTTTTAAAGACAGCTTTTCAAATTATGAACGCACTGCGAAGGCACAAATATGTACGTTACAAATCTGATCAACATTACAGTAATTCTCAGTTCTTTCTAAAATTCAGTGAGTTAACTTACCATGCTCATTTTTGTCAGAGGCTTTGCTTAGCAAATGGAGAAGACATTTGAAGGATGGAAAAGAGAATTGATCTTGATTTAGGATTAGATAAAATCCCTCTGGCTCTAGTTTGAGCACATTTTATCTTAATTTATGAGCACTCAAACTAATACCATTAACTATTTTCATATCATTTGTTCTCAGACAAAACCCTTAATTCCCCCTAAAAGAAGTCTATTTTGGTGCAAAGCAATGACTTGGGTCATTGCTTTTTTTTTTTTATTTTTTATTGCGGTACGCGGGCCTCTCACTGTTGTGGCCTCTCCCGCTGCGGAGCACAGGTTCCGGACGCACAGGCTCAGCGGCCATGGCTCACGGGCCCAGCTGCTCCGCAGCATGTGGGATCTTCCCGGACCGGGGTACAACCCACGTCCCCTGCATCGGCAGGCGGACTCTCAACCACTGCGCCACCAGGGAAGCCCTAGATCTTAATTTTATAAGCTTAATTTATTCCGCTTAGCAGATTGTTTCAAATTTACTTTAAACAAGTTAAAGTCTTACTTTAAATAAGTTTGGACTTAATGAAAAGCAAAGAAAATGCCAGATCTGAATTTCCTTTTAAAAATCACGACATGTTTAGCATATTACTGACCACTAGCCACATACCCTATGTATTTTTTTTTTGGCTGCTTTGGGTCTTCATTGCTGCGTGCGGGTTTTCTTTAGTTGTGGTGAGCCGGGGCTACTCTTTGCTGCGGTACGCGGGCTTCTCATTGTGGTGCCTTCTCTTGTGGCGGAGCATGGGCTTTAGGTGCGCAGGCTTCAGTAGTTGTGGCGTGTGGGCTCTAGAGCACAGGCTCAGTAGCTGTGGTTCAGGGGCTTAGCTGATCCGTGGCACATGGGATCTTCCTGGACCAGGGCTCGAACCCGTGTCCCCTGCATTGGCAGGTGGATTCTTAACCACTGTGCCCCAGGGAAGCCCTAGCCATAGGGCTTTTATTTTTAAAATATGTTCTACAAAACACTTCTTTTATTTGGACCAACTGAATAATTGTTGCTTATTACATACTTCATAAAGCAACAGTTTGGCAAATATTTCTGAGGGCCAAGCAAGTTCTACTATAAGCATCATGTTTCATTTAAATTCAAACTTCTTACTAGTTTTTTAAAAACTAAATTGTATTTACTATAAATGTTGCCATAATAAAAAAACAGAGAACACCTGTCACCTGTTTAAAGGGCTATTCTGTGGAACTTACCAGGATCTATGAATTGAATGCCGTTGCTGCTGAGGTTTAATTTCTTTAGCTCATGAGCATCTTCAAACTCCTTGGGTCGAAGCTGGTTGATTTTGTTGTGTGACAAGTCAAGTTTAACAATGTCTGGAGGGATGTTGTTTGGAACTTTCTTCAACTCTGGAAAAAATAAAAATGTTCAGGTTATCAAGCTCTCTTCTTGCCCCCATTTGCTCTATCACTCTTATCCCTGTGTGACTGAAGAGTCAGCTCTTGAAGGGAAAAAGGATATCCCATCTAAAGCCGAAGAACATTACCATATGAACAAGCCTTAGAATACGCTAAATTCCACCAAAGCCCAGCGAACCAAGTGCATCACACTTAGAGGAGCAGATATCACTCCTTGCTGAACTGTTCTGAGAAACTTCCTAGAGGCGGCTAGAAATCAAGAGCAGGACAGCAGGCAGTGCAGCTCAGCTGGCTGGGCATCAGGCGGCGCGGTGGGGCTCAAACCTGGCCGCCTGTTAGAATCACCTGAGACGCTCTTAAAAACAGAAAGCTGAAACAAAATGAAACCCACAAATCAAACCACTCTTCCTGCCTCCCCTCCCATTCCCTTCCCACTCCTCTAAGAGCTTTCAGTATTAATTATTGCCTCTTTGTTGCATCTTCCTTTTATCCCTCTCCTCAGACTCCTTCTGTTAACAAATAAGCACAGATCTTGCCATCCTAAAAAAGAAACAAAAAGCCCTCCACCCTGATGACCCTCAGGCTGTTACCTCATTTCTCCTTTCCTTGGATGCTAAAATTGGAGAAAGAATAGTCCTCATTTGCTCCCCCTGCTTCTTCATCACCCGCTTATTCCCTGAATCCTTGTGACTTAATTTATACTCCACCACTCCTCCCTGACTCTTCCCAAGGTACTGAAGTAATTGGACTCCCCAGGAGAAACAGTAATAACAATAGTGCTGCTACTACTGCTACTACTACTACTACTACTGAGTCAACAATGACTACGACTACAAAAAAGCCTCTGGAAGAGGAGCCCAGTTATTTTTCATAGGTTAATAGGAAATCAAGGTTCACCTAATTTATCTCTTACTATTTATATTTGTCTTTAAATCATGCTTTAAAATACTATAAAGTGTGTTTATTTTATAGTTTAGCATAATACTTGCCCTTTCTTTTAATCTTTAGCAAAATATTCTGAAAAGGTTTTATTCAATTTTAAGTAGGGCAAGTGAAGCCTGTGAAGAGAAACAAACCTGTTCAGACAAAAGAAAATTAGAAGGAACAAATAAAATGTCCAGATTAGTTCACACCTGAGAAACAGCATGACCCAAAGACTTTCTGAATAAGTAGAAATTCCTTGAACTAGGTACAGTAAGTTTATGAAAGGTGGTATCCATTTATCCGTAATTCCCTTTTTGCTATAGAATAACTGACTTACTGATAATGTTTTCCAAATATTTTTTAAAAACCCCTTCTGGTATATATGATTTCTTAACTCATAGTATGTTTACTTTCATAAAGACTCAGTCTTATATCCCCCCTTCTTTTAACAGCTCAGAATCCATGGTTAATGGGATGGTATTGGTAGTTCCTTCTTTGGTATCCTAATTACTGTTAAATTTGCTTTTTCTTCTTGATGGGATCTTGGTATCTTAGTACCTAGGTACAAGAACTTTTTCTAGGTGCCCTAACAAGTATTATGTGACAAGAACCCTATGAGCTAAGTACATTATCCCCATTTTACAGATGAAGAAACTGAGGCACAACTTGCCCATAGTCACACTCTAGGATTTTTTTTTTTTTTTTATAACACCCAGGCTCAGCGGGTATAAAGGGAAGCAGCTGACAATTTTGCTGCTGTATCTCTGCCTTGAGTGTTTGGGGTTGTTTTTTGTTTTTTAACGTTTTTATTGGAGTATAATTGCTTTACAATGGTGTGTTAGTTTCTGCTTTATAACAAAGTGAATCAGTTTTACATATACATATGTTCCCATATCTCTTCCCTCTTGCATCTCCCTCCCTCCCACCCTCCCTATCCCACCCCTCTAGGTGGTCACAAAGCACGGAGCTGATCTCCCTGTGCTATGCAGCTGCTTCCCACTAGCTATCTATTTTACGTTTGGTACACACTCTAGGAGTTAAACACAGACACGCTAGCCCCCAAAACTATGCTTCTAACCACTATGCCCTGCTGCCTATTCATGGTACCTTTCTGCTTCACTTACGCTGTTCCATCTGCTTAGAATCCTCAAGCTTGTCATGTAGGGTTAAGTGGGGATTGGGGAGCAACTGGGGTGGGGGTCAATATATTGGAATGGCCATAAGACCTTTCTGGCTCTGTATTTAAAATGACATCTCCCTGCTTTCAAGTAGGCAACAACAGCAATGATAATACCATTTTCTGCTTTTTCTCAATGGCAGTTATCAGCATCAGGTGCAGGGTACATCTTACTGATTTTTTTCACTTTTGCACCCTCCTTGCCATGGAAGCTTCCTGAGGGAAGTGCCTAATATATCATAAATAAATAAGTGGTATGTGGCAGCCAGCTTCTAAAATGTCATGCAACAATCTCCTCTACTGATATTCATGCCCTTGTATAAACTCTTCCCCTTAAGTATGGGCTGAACCTAGTGACTTGCTTCTAATAATAGAATGCAGCAAATATGATAGGAGCTCACTTCCATAATTAGGTTTTAAGAAATTGTGACTTTTGTCTGGCTAGCAGACTCTCTTTTGCTGGCTTTGATGAAGCAAGTTGCCATTTTGGAGAGGCTCACATGGCAAGTAACGAAGGCTGGCCTCTGGCCAACAACCAGCAAGGAACTCTGGCCCTCAGTCCAACAGTCCTTGAGGAACTGAATCCTGCCAGCAGTCATATGAGCTTGGAAGAGGATATTTTTCCAGTTGAGCCTTCAGGTGAAACCACATCTTGTTTCAGCCTTGTGAGAGATCCTGAAGTAGAGGACTCAGCTAACCCATATCTGGTTTCCTGACCTACAGAAACTGTGAGATAATAAAGTGTGTTGTTTTAAGCCACAGAGTTTTGGGGTAGTTTCTTAGGTAGCAACAAAGTTATCTAACTAACATATGGGAAATAATGAGCTCATTAAATGTGTTGAGTTTAATGATTCAAGAATATTGAGCCCTCTTGTAATAAAAATGCTTTGAAAATTTGGATTGACTTTATTTCCATCCTCCGATAAGACATTGTTTTGTTTGACCTAGAGTTGTGTCTGCCAACATATAGAAAGGTGAAAGATTTTAAGACTTGAACTTATTATAATGTTGCAACGCTGAGGTAATCCTCCCTTTAGGACCAGCAAGACCCTGACTGGAGAGCTATATTCTCTCTTGGGCACTACACGTAAACAAGGAGATGGATATCCCAGGAAAAAGTGAAAACCACAGAGACACTTGAAGAAATAATTTCTTGACATTTAGCATTTGGAATAATTATTGAGAATGGCTGTGGCATTTTCTTAGAAGATTTTTAAAAGAGGAATAGAGTTTTATTTCAAAATACCCAGGATCCCACCTCTCCTCTCTTCCTTCACTGCTACCCCATTGGGCCAAGCCACCATCACCTCTTGTCTGGATTATCCCAATATTGTCCTAAGCCCAGGTGATCATGTTAAAACATGTGAGATCCTGTCATTTTACCAGATGGCTTGCCATCCTCCAGATGGCAGAACCCTTTCAATGCTTCCCATCTCACTCTGAATAAAAGCCCAAGTCCTCACCAAGGCCCTACAAAGCCATTAAGGGCTGTAGGTCTTCCTTGCCACCAGAGTTAGTATCTCCTAGGTCCTGGAAAACAGCCTATTTATCAGTACTTGCTTGCTGAACCCACATCTGCTGGGCTGGACATGAGGGTGAATGACAAGCAACCACTGTAGGACATGAGGGTGAGTCCCAAGCAACCATTGTAGGACAAGCTAAAGCGGGTTAACCACAAATAAATGGGTAGAAAAAAATGTTTATGAGAACACCCTGAAACCCAGCTTAAGCAATGTGGCAGACCTGTGGAAGAGGAATATGAACTGCAGAACCAACTTTGGCATTGTTACCAGCAGACCTGAGTAAAAATAGGATCCACAAGTAATACCAGGAAATGCAAACCAAAGCCTTTACTAGTAGGCTTAGAAAAACATGGAAAAATCTTATTTGTTGTATTGATGAGTAGAAACAGTTCTTTAGTTTTTAACCTTAAACTTGAATGAGAAATGCAAATGTTGATGTGAAGTATGTTTGTCTTTGATAAAGATTACACAAATACAAATTTCCCCAGACCAGAAGTCAAATTTGGTCAATGTCCCCATTTCTAGACCAGGCACCACACGGTTATTTGCTGCTATCTGAGATTTTTGGTAAACCTTCAATGAATATCATATTTACTTATCACCCCTGGCAAGCATCGCCTCTCCCCCAACCAAACCTTGCTGATTTTGAGGAGGAAATTGGGAAATTTTTTCCATGTAATTTCTCATTTAGTAGGCTACCCTGATTGTCAGCAAAGTCAGAACTACTCTTAAGGCTTGGTAGTGGTAGGTAAAGAGATATAAATGGCCCTGTGTATTGCAAATAGAAGATTCTTAATTATTGTTCAAACTAATGGTGAAATTATCTTCAGAGGCAGCTGGGAGCAATTTATGGTCATAATTCTCCACAGCCCTAATCTTAGAAGTCAAATAAATCCTTAAAATGGTAAATTATTCTGGTAAATGTGAAGCTAAAAAGCAGTTTTAAAACTCTCTCATGTATTTTTGGCAAATCCATCCATCTCAATATGGCATAAACATGGCTTTCAACTAATCTCACATTTATTCCCTTTGAAAGACTAAGTTTTGTTGGCAAAGTGCCTGTCACCCAGTGAATAAAGCTATTGTTTCTTTTTCTTGCTGTCAGATGTTTAAGGCAAAAATAGTGATCTTTGAGGTCTATGTGGTCAAAATGGCATGTACTAGGTACCCTACACACACCATCTGACTCATCATCTGTCAGCTAGGAAAGGCACGACTAATTCCCGAGTTAAGGGAATCTGTATTCGGGTTCCTTGAGTGTGATCATGTACCTGATGAATTGTACAGAGCCTAAGAAGAGGGTTCAATACTGGAAGGAAGCACCCAGAAGGCTTTTATATATTCTTCTTGGTTAATAGGCATACCCAGAATCTTGAAGGAAGAGAGGACAGTGCATGGTGGCCAATGGCTTGGGAACTGCTTAGGGATTGCCTATGTGATCTTCAAAGGGCAACCTAACTTCTCTACTCCTCAACTTCTTCCTTCCTAAAATGAGGATAATACCAGTATTTCTTTTAAGGTTGTGAGGAGTAAATGACAATGCATGAAACTGCTATGTCTTAGGCACACAGAGCATTTAGATGGCAGCTCTCATTAATATCACTGCTAGTTCCACTCTTGATGGCATGTTTTAGGCTTCTTTAGATCCTACATAGTGTCCAACATGTGAGCACAATCAAAAGTATTACTACCCTCTGGCAGGCAGTTAGAGATGAACACTGCTGAACATTTATTCTCAGTATTTGACATTTATTATCTAGTTATAGAATGGGGTAAGGAAAACTACAATGGATAAAATTCAGTGTCATACTTGAGTTCCAGCCATGATTTTTAACTTCTATATATTTTTATGTTTAAAAGTTGCTTAAATTACTGCTCTGTAAGAGCAAAGAAAGCAGCTCAATTATTATCATCAATCTAAAGAACATGGCCCTGTGCCAGGCAGTACCAAAGGGAATTTAATAGAGAAGACCTTTGACTTTAAACTTATGGGAATCAACAATATATCAAAAAATGAAAAGTAAATTATCAGCTGAATCAATAGACTGATATCAACCATAGTGAGAGTGATTTATATTGATGATATTAAAAGACAAAACTACCCTTCATTTTATAATCTAAAAAGTATAGGCTCTGATTTACGTCATCACTAACAAGTGGAGGACCTTGAGTTGTCCTTTAGTGTTAGTATATATGTACTAACTGTGCATGTCATATAAACTTTATTTATACTGTTTTCCAGTAAATCATGTTTTTAAAGCATGAAGAATGAATTTATGGAGCATGTCTGGAAGGTTGTGTTTAGACAACAACAGTAACTTGAGGAAGGAGAGCAATAAAAAATATATTTGTATTTTTATAAGTTGATTTTTGCCAAGAAAAAAGAGAAAAATATCATGGAAAAAAAGACAAAGGCAGAAATAGGCTCACTGGAGAGGGAATGGCCAGAGTAGAAAAGCAGTAAAAAAGAAAGCTATTTCCTACTATGTTATCTTTTCTTAAATTACAGTGTGGTATAGCTGTAGAAATCTTCAATTTTGTGTTAATAGCATTTTTCTCAGATAATTAACGAGCTTAACTCTACTATTTTCTCTTTGTCACCTGACACAGCAAGTGCAAATTAACTTTAGCTTGAGGATAGAACCTTAGCGATATCAAGTAGGTTTTCTAACTCAAGTCTAGGAATAGTAGCTTTGTATTAGTTTTTAAAATATATAATTCAAGTTTTTAAGCATAACAAAGGAAATCCTAGTAAAACATGCTCTTTGTCATGAAGCACCAAGTACTCACCGTTAACTGTGTTAGGGAAATTCCACCCAGTCTGGCTACAGAGAAACTTCACGTACTGACTTCTCTGCAATTCTTTAATGCTGTCTTTGTTCCAGCTGCTTGTTTAAACATGGTTAGATTAATTACGGATGCCAGCAGGCTCAGGTGGACCAAGTTTCAAATCTTAGTTTTGCTGCTTACCTATGAGACCTTGAGCAACTGACTGAACCTCCCTTAGCCTCATTTTCCTCAACTGTAGATGGGGATACTATCATTACTACCTTGTTAGCAGCTGTAGACAGCATGTGTGTGGAATACCTGGAGCATAGTAGGTTCTCAATTAATGAGCACTTTCTCTCAAACTCAGAGGATCCCATAACGGCATCTCCCAGGTTATGATACTGTAATTGCTCTACTCTAGCATCAACGATATATAATTCACAGAGTGTCACAGTAAGCAAACCTTTTGATGTCATGTAGTCGTGGTGTGATCTAACCAAGTGTCACCTTCCACAGTCAGAGAGAGGGAGCAAGTCTTGAGCAAGACTTTGCTGACAAATGAACACATTTATTCCTGCTTCTTCAAAATCCACAGATTCCTGCCTGTGGTTTCCTTGAGAGGAGCCAGTCTCCATGTTCCTCTTAACCTTTCCTTTCTGTTCTTAAAACAAAGCCTCCTAAAATAACTGGAAAGAATGATACCATGCTCTTTATGACCCTAATTCAATGACATCTGGCTTTAATTTAATATTACATATAAGTTATTAACCCATGACAGAAATGAAACAGACATTCAAATGCCTTGTTGTCCTAGGATAGATTAGCGGTGCCCAGACCACACTTTGAGAATGTCTTCACTAACATGTCAGGAGCCTTACTGAAATCTCCCAGCTGTTTTCTTATTTCATGTATTTGTCCTGTATGCACAAATCCCGCACACTACTAGCCCAAGATTGTGTGCGATGTAAAAGCAAGTAATGATTTGCAGAAAGTAAGTAATAGTCTAGAAAGCTATTCTTAATCTCATAGTTCTTGGATTAATACTTTCAACTTAGTTTTTTTTCAATATTCTTATGTTTTATTTTGGATAATTTGGGAACAATTAAGATACAGGATGTTAGCAAGCGTTTTTGAAAACCTTGAGACTAAATTATAAGAACTACAGACACGCCATCACTACAGCCCACTTGGCTTCCTTCTCCTGGTGTTCTCACCTGTCCTGCTCTGCACATGGTTTTCCTTGAGGTTATTATCTCCCCACAGATGCATATCATGTTTTGAATTTAATTGGTGTAAATCAGGTTATACGGACAGCACTGGCACTTGATTTCATACCCACTGGTTTACCTACATAAGTTAAATTACATTGGATTTAAAATTAAAGAAATTTCTTACAGCCACAGCTTGCAATGAGCAAATAAGTGTAGGACCCAAATGGCTGCCCCTCCTGAGCATACCTCCTACCCTCCTCTAATGTTCCCCAAATCACTAACCACCTTGAGCTCGGAGTAAATTCCATTGCCATTGGGGAAAGATTTCTGGTGGAAATGCTCCCAAAATTCTAAGTCATGGTGGGATGCAGAGATTCCTAAGACTCAGAAAGCATTTTTTTTTTTTGCGGTACGCGGGCCTCTCACCGCTGTGGCCCCTCCCGCCGCGGAGCACAGGCTCCGGACGCGCAGGCCCAGCGGCCATGGCTCACGGGCCCAGCCGCTCCGCGGCATGTGGGATCCTCCCGGACCGGGGCACGAACCTGCGTCCCCTGCATCGGCAGGCGGACTCTCAACCACTGCGCCACCAGGGAAGCCCTCAGAAAGCATTTTTAATCATCCATGAAAACGAAAAAGTAAGAAACTTACAAACCTTTTCTTTTGCAGTCCAGTGTTCGTATGGGAAACACGTAGTTGTGGCAAAGAGAAGAGTCCACCTCAGGCTTGATGACTGGGGGTTTCCCTGACACTTGGGGTTTTGGATCCAAATGTTCCTTTTCTTCTTCATTACACAACTGTTCAGATTTTATCTGCCTCAGTTTTTTATTTTTTAGTCCTTGTGGGCTTTCACACTTGGCGTAGTTCCCCAAATTCCGGTTCCTTGGAATCTGCAACATTGAAATAAGCGTTTCCATCTCACAAGTACAATGCCAGGGATTGTCATAGAGACGCAGGTAGCTCAGGAGAGGTGTGTAAATGAACACTTCCTCTGTCAAGACTTTGATCTGGTTGTGCTGCAGTAAGAGAGTGGTAAGTTTATTTAAACCAAAGAAAGCCTCACTCTCAATTTTGGAGATCTCATTCTGCTGTAAATCCAAGCTTTTCAGCTTTTTAAACTTGGAAAACATGCTGTTCTTCAGTACGCGGATTTTGTTTCTTGCTAATAGCATGTGCAGTAAATCCTGAGGCCAGCCGGGCAGCACGTAAACTAGTTTTCTCTCTTGACAATCTAAGTACTTCTCGTGAAGATACGTGTACACTTCACAGGGGAGGCCTGGAGCGTAGCGTTTGACCAGGCTGGAGCCCTTCCGGCTCCCACCAGCCCGGCTGTGATTCACTCGGTTTCTCGCACCCCCAGGGCTTCCTTTGCGCTCAGCGGCTTTACAAAAGAAGAGCAGGATTAAGATGGTTACCACGCGCATCCTGACATCCAGCTGGCCCCAATTACTTGGTGTGACAGATGGAACAATGAAAGTATTCCTTTGAAATCCACGTTTGGGTAATCTTAACTAATGCAGTTCAGGAACAATGAGGCCCAGCTGAGGTACGGTGGAGTCCCTAGATTGCAGGAGGAAAAAATATTTAGAGACCATTGTGAGCAACGCAATTGACAAATAATAGCAAGTTTTCAAGTTACTTTTATTTTTAAGCAAAGGCATTCCGTTAATAAAGGCACATGCAGAAGAGTGGTGTAGGAGGCTCCACACCCTCCTACTTGCCTGGTGTGGTAGCTAAATGTTTGGGCCCTGAGTGTGAATCAAGGCTCTTCTACTTGCTGAACTGTGTGACCTCAGGCTAATTATTTAACCCCATCTTCAGCATCTGTAAAGTGGGACTGAGGATACCTCTAGTATTGTTGGGAAGATGAAACAGGCTCATGTGCATCAAACACTTCGCAGTGCCTGATCCAGGGGAAGTACTCCACATTGTTAGGACTTAGCATTATGAAAACTGAAACTGGATTCCAGAAATTAAAGGGATTCTCCTTACAGCTTTGAGATGTGCAAATCAGAGTTGGACTCCAATGAATGTTCTCCTGAGCTTATTTTTTTCTTTCCTTTACTGTCTCCCAATCACCAATCATGTTGAAGGTGGGCTCCAGAAATGCTCAGGCTAAACTGCAACTGTCCTTGTCATTTCCTGCACATCTTGGCTTAAATGTCACCTTCTCAGCAAAAACTTCTCTGATTGCTGTATTTAAAAGTAGTACCCCTTCCCACTCGCTGGTCGCCCTCTACTCCGTTTCTGGTTTTATTTCTTTCCAGGGCACGTATCACCATCTGTCAAAATAGATATTTTGTTTCTTTTGTTTATTGTCCTTCTCCCCCAACTAGGATGTAAACTTCGTAAGGGCAGGAATTTTTCTCTATTTTGTTCACTGCTGTATTTCCAGTACCTGTAGAGTTTCTAGCACATAGCAGGTTCTTGATAAATATTTGAATTGCATGAATTCAGGTAACCACTCTATAAAAATATTAATAATCTCATAAATTTAGTTATTATATTTTTTGGTATCTATTCTTCCCTTAAGTATTACTGATGACTTCCAAGAGCTGCACATTTTTTTAAACATCTTTATTGGAGTATAATTGCTTTACAATGGTGTGTTAGTTTCTGCTTTATAACAAAGTCAATCAGCTATACATATACATCTATCCCCATATCTTCTCCCTCTTGCGTCTCCCTCCCACCCTCCCCATCCTACCCCTCTAGATGGTCAGAGCACCGAGCTGATCTCCCTGTGCTATGCGGTTGCTTCCCACTAGCTATCTATTTTACATTTGGTAGTGTGTATATGTCCCTGACACTCTCTCACTTCGTCCCAGCTCACCCTTCCCCCTCCCCGTGTTGTCCTCAAGTCCATTCTCTACGTCTGTGTCTTTATTCCTGTCCTGCCCTTAGGTGCTTCAGAACCTTTTTTTTTTTTTCTAGATTCCATATTATGTGTTAGCATACGGTATTTGTTTTTCTCTTTCAGACTTCACTCTGTATGACAGACTCTAGGTCCATCCACCTCACTACAAATAACTCAATTTCATTTCTTTTTATGGCTGAGTAATATTCCATTGTATATATGTGCCACATCTTCTTTATCCATTCATCTGTCGATGGACACTTAGGTTACTTCCATGTCCTGGCTATTGTAAATAATGCTGCAACGAACATTGTGGTACATGACCCTTTTTGAATTATGGTTTTTTCAGGGCATATGCCCAGTAGTGGGATTGCTGGGTCATATGGTAGTTCTATTTTTAGTTTTTTAAGGAACCTCCATACTGTTCTCCATAGTGGCTGTATCAATTTACATTCCCACCAACAGTGCAAGAGGGTTCCCTTTTCTCCACACCCTCTCCAGCATTTATTGTTTGTAGATTTTTTGATGATGGCCATTCTGACCATTATGAGGTGATACCTCATTGTAGTTTTGATTTGCATTTCCCTAATGATTAATGATGTTGAGCATTCTTTCATGTGTTTGTTGGCAATCTGTATATCTTCTTTGGAGAAATGTCTATTTAGGTCTTCTGCCCATTTTGGGATTGGGTTGTTTGTTTTTTTGTTATTAAGCTGCATGAGCTGCTGCTGCTTGTATATTTTGGAGATTAATCCTTTGTCAGTTGCTTCGTTTGCAAATATTTTCTCCCATTCTGAGGGTTGTCTTTTTGTCTTGTTTATGGTTTCCTTTGCTGTCAAGAGCTGTACATTTTTAAGAATTGTTTTCATCTTTAAAATTCTGAAATTGGTTTTGGTTTGTACTTATTACTTAGGACATAGCCCATTCTTGGCAGAGACAGAAATATTCAAAATGGATTTATAATTAATAACATTTCTGTTGTTACTGTCGTGGGGCTCTTTGGTTATAACTGGCAGATGTGTTTCCTATTCATTGTAGCAGTGTGAATGCCAGGATCACCCCCTTACCTGGAGTTTTCCTGCTTGTACAGGTCTCCTCCATCTAGAATGCCTTTCCCCTTCTTTGCCCCAAGCATTCCTCCCATTCACTGTTTTGTGTCCCCTCCCCTCACTCCTTCTCTTCTGTCTCAGATTTGGAGTTTTACTTACTGTTAGTCTAGACCCAGAGAGCTGACTGTATAACACAAGCCTTGTTTCCCCTGCCAGAGCACAAGCTGTGCAGGTGTCTCTGGTTCCAGAACTAATCAGGCACTTGACCTTTCTGACTCTCCACATCTCAATCTGCAACTCATTGTAAACTGTATGTAACTCTAAGCTAAAATAGAAATATTTTGTTAATTACTATGCATGATGAATTATTCATGATATTCATGCTTAATTATTTGTGGGGAGGAAGTGTGCTGATGTTTGCAACCTACTTTAAAATGCATAAAAAATTAAGATGGATTGAGGGACAGAGAGATGGATGTACAGGTGGATATGTGATAAAGCAAATATAGTAAAATATAAACTGTAGAATATGGGTGGGTGGTGGGTACATTCACTGTACAATTCTTCAATTCTCTCAACTTTTTTGTATGTTTGAACGTTAAAAGGTAACAAAACCCCCCAAATTAACAAAAATGTCATGCCACAAAAAAGCAGACTGGTTTTCTTCAAGTGCTTCAAAGCTGAAAGCTCTAAGTATATACAGTTTCTTCCCAAAATAGTTTTCTCTTTCCCCCTTCCTTCTTTAATCCTCAAACAATAATAAACATGTGTATACTTTTTAATTTTAAAGCCAAAATAAATCATTTTTTCTGGGGAAAGGAAACCATATACTTGGGACAAGTTATTTGCCAGGGTTTTTGTTTGTTTTCTGATGAATACACAGCAGTGAATGTAGGATGGAAAAACTTTAAAGATTTGTAATACGGTGTTTAATAATGTGTAACTTGTTTGATTTAGGCCTCTGTAGAAACTTGCAAGAGCTGAATGTCTCTGACTGTCCAACACTCACGGTGAGTATAAGAAGCTTATTTTACTGTTGTTTATATAGATTCAGACTTGCTCCACTGGAGCACTAATACACAGAGATTCTGCCAAAATACACGCCTGTGTGCTCATTTAGGATTAAATATGGAGAAAAGCAAACTATGTTAAACACTGGCAAGAAATTTTATCCAACTTATGTAATGCTCTTATTATTCCCGTAGATATGTCCAAGGTTGGAGTCTCTGGAAAGTGGAAACTATTCAACGATTAGACAAAAATGAACTATATTTCTGTTTAAGGCCATGTGTGCATGAGACAGAAAAAATTGGGCCCCAGCAGAGACAATAGGCTCAATTTATAAGTCTTCATGGCTATCAGCTGTGGTGCCAAAGAAGCTGGAAATGAACATGTAACTCTAGCCAACTCCTTCCTGGTCCCTGTCTCCAGGCTTTCCTCTACTTCCAATCTGTCTTACACCCTGTGGACACAGAATATTCCTTCTTAAAGGCAGATCTGACCACTTCACTATCATCTGCCATCATTTATACACACACTTATCATCTACACTGTTGGACAGAGTCAAAGCTCTTTAACATTACTGTACCTTGGAGACCCTCGGTCGTCTTGTCTCTGCCTCCCTTTCCAGCCTCATCTTCTTATAAATCCTACATGCACATTAAGTTTCAGCAGCCACAAGCTGCTATGCTTTCTTTCCTGCATGCACCAAGCTCCTCTTGCTGTTTTGCCTTTGCTCCGGCTGTGCTCTTTGCTTGGAGATAGGAGGGAAAAGAATGAACGGCCTGATTGCTTCCCCTTCCTCATTAAGCACCAGCTCCAGGATGAAGTCCATGCCCCTTGGCACAGGTGAAAAGACTTCGTGAATTGGCTCTTCCATGCTACCTACCCAGACTCATCATTAACAGTTCTTTCTTTCAGATTTCTACTCAATTTCATTCTTTCTGTGGATATTTTTAGCACCTACTATGTTAAAGATATATTTATCTTTATATACAAAGATATATAGGGAACTTATATGTTATAAAATAGAGGTTCTATAGGGAATTTAAGATGAATTTTCAGTTTTGGCCCTCAGGGAGCTTTAGTTCTCACTTGGATAAAAGATCATATTCTTTAATTTGGCTTTCTAATAGGAAAGTCAAAACAATTCCATCTGGGCTTCCCTGGTGGCGCAGTGGTTGAGAGTCCGCCTGCCGATGCAGGGGACACGGGTTCGTGCCCCGGTCCGGGAAGATCCCACATGCTGCGAAGCGGCTGGGCCCGTGAGCCATAGCCGCCAAGCCTGCGTGTCTGGAGCCTGTGCTCCACAACAGTGAGAGGCCCGCGTACCACAAAAAAAAACCCAAAAAAACAATTCCATCTGTGTTGAATTTGTGAACATCAAAGTCTTTTCCAGTTTTAGAGTTTAATAATGTACAGGGCTGATAACTTTATCCAGCTACATTTTACTATTGTCTTTCCCTTTGAGACAAAGACTGAGAGACAGGCTTACATTTAAGGAGTTGAGTAACATTCATTCAAAAAGCTCTGATTTCTAAGAAGCTTGCCTTATGAATATATTACATCCGGAAAGATTTTGAGTGCATCATAGACAAATTCATGGACCATCCTGCAATGTAGACACTGAAACAATTTTTGCATTTATGTGCTCA